GCTGGATACCCTACCTTTCCATTTCCAGCCAGAGTGCCAGATATGGAATGGTAGGGTATGGCAGTGTCTGAGGATTTGGGTGTACCAGGTGCTGGTCAAGACACCAAAGCCACTAGAAAATGAGGAACCCACAAGAATACGAGGATCACGGTGGGATCAAGAAAACAAGGTGATGTCTAGAAAATGACCCTGCCAGCATGCCTATGAGACCTGTGATCCTCATTTCTAGTGACCTACATGTCACTAGAAAATGAGGCTCCTGGCCCCTTCTCGGTGAGTTTACCTTTTTGAGACTAAAGAATGACCGTTTTCTACACACGTCGACCCCTTCCATTTTCTAGTCCGAATATCATGGGGATTAATATATACAGATACATGATTGTATATTTCCATCTGAAAGAAAACCCAGCCACAGTCTCCACCGTGCAAGAGACCGTGCCACTGCTGCAGTTCAGGGCCTGCACTCGCCAGTTGCTGTTGTCTGTGACCAGCATCCGCTCCCCATCGCAGGCGGCCCCGGCAGCAAAGCTCGAGAGCTGGAAGCTCGCATTGCCGGGAGTCCATCCATCCACCAGCTTGCAGCTCTCGGTGCAGTCTGTGAGCTCCGGCATCGCAGCACAGGCACAACGCAGCACGCCACTGGCTCCTGGGCCTGCAAAGACGAGGTAAAGGGCGTCCTGGCACCAGGTCATACCACCCAGGGAGAAGGAGCGATTCACCCGCGGCAAGGCCCGGTCCACATCCACCAGGACTTTCACTGGGCAGGAGGTGTCCTGGCACCAGGGGTCCAACTCAACGACCTGATGGCTCTTCAGAGCGGCCAGGAGGCGACCATTCCATGGCACGAGGCCACTGTAGGTCTCAACGTGCTGGGCGATGGGAAGAGCTTTGCCACAGCCACTGACTCCACAGTCCGCACGCATCAGCTCGTCCTTGCCCAAATTCGTGAAGAAGATGCTTCCGTCCAGCGCATGGACGCCGGCCCAGAGAGCCACTAGTAGGAGTTTCATGGCCATGTACTACAGTGGGAAAGATTCTAGGGGCGTCTGACCTGCCCTGCGAGAACTGCGGTCAGGCCACAACTCGTATCCGTGTCAGTGGGCTCCAAGCATGTCAATGCAAAGACTTCGCGAACTCGATTGGAACATTGACATTATTATGACATTAGATGGCACTGGATCTTGGCATCGCCAAGATCGGGCAGGGGTGACCTGAGCAGGCGCATCTCCTTGAAAACATCCATACGTGCTGCACTGGCTACAGCATGCCGTGGAACGCACACTCCACTCACGTGGAACGCATACACATGCGTGCGCGTAGTGGGCCATGGGGATGCCTCACATCAGGCAATGCCTCACGACCGCAGGTGGTTTCCCATGACCCAATTTAGACGAGTCTAGCAGGTTCCATGTGAATTAAGTCAAACGTTCGTCCAAAATGGTCTACAATCCATGTGTGAATTAAGTCGCTTGTTAGTCACTAATCGATGATTCTTGGGGGATCTCAGCCAGCAACGCCCCTTTTTAAGTCCACGCCATCAGAGGAGGATTGACCAAACGACCTTCATGGCTGGTGACCCGAAGTCAAATGCACAGATGTGACGCGATGCCTCGCTCCAACCAAAAGCAGGAGGAAATGAAGTGAATGCTTTCGGGTGTCAAAGTGATTTCTGGGTGATGCACTTGCCAGCACCAATCGACCCCTTCTCAACAAACCCTGAAAACAGCGAAAAGATGCGAAAAGTCCTACTCTACCTCCAACCCAATCCCAAGCAACCCACCCCCAACTCCTCATCCTTTTCCACAGCCCCCATCCACCCCTCCATCCGAGGCACAGATCGTGCACAGGGAAGCCTTGCCCCCGCACAAGGGTCGGAGTAGCCCGAAGCCTGACTTGGGAATGATTGGATAGCACGCCACTGGCGGGAGAGTGTCTAAGATCAGCTCTGTGATCGAGTGTGTCGAACTCTTCGGACTGAAAAAAGCAGTAGCAACTGGCTGAAACAACAATGATCTGATCTTACAGGACACAGGCAAGCCAAAAATCATGTATATACTTGTATAGACTTGTAGATGAACTGGACCTCTGTACCCTTGCCCCAGGGCTGCTTCTACTGTCTTGGCACTAATCCTCTTCTTGTTTCATGAAGTTTCGTTTGTGGCAAAACCATGTTTCATGAAGGAAGCACGGCGGCGCTCTCACGTCTCCCCGCCTCACGTCTACCTGTGCTGCTTCGAGTGAACAGCCGGAGCTTCCGCCCTCTTCGCCCTTGTCCCCCAACGCCGGGAACCGGCGCGACGCGTCGTGGATGACTGTCTGATGACTGTCTGAATGAAAAATGTATAGACTGTCTGATAAGCTGAGAAGCCAAGATCGAAGAACTTCTTAAACAACAGTAAGAGCCAGGCAAGAAGAACAATAAGCAGCAAGCCAAACGCGTACTTTTCGGGTCATAGCTTCTTTTAGGGAGGGGGGCTCTTGGATGAACCCCAGACAGGGTGAACAAACAAGTAAGGCCTTGGCTTCGGCTTCGGTCGTGTCAACCCAGGGTCCCATGCCTGGAGAGGTCCCGTGCATCCGCTGTGCCACCTGGTCCGACGTCGAAACCGGACCGGAAGTGCAGCTCCAGTTCAAACCTGATGTTGTTTGAAGAAAGAACTACTAGATTTCGTTATGACTCGACTGACCTTCCTTTAAGCAGGGCCTAGCTTGGTGAAGAACTCCACTGAGTCTTCAGAGTGATGGTCATCATGTCTGCAGAATGGTTTCTTGGTCTTGGAGTCTCATCTTTCGGGCTGGTTCTCCAACATCTGACCCTTTTCTGCACACATCTTTGCCTGGCTGCCACACAACATCGCTTGTCGTGGCACAGGAGGGTTCGTTAGCAGCATTAGCAGCATGATCATGCATTGATCCACTGAGGAATGTGCTAATTCTTGAAAGCAGCAAGGGGTCTGTTCACAAGTCTGGTCGAACTAAAAACGTCCTATCCTATCGCGATAGCACACCTCATTCTGCAGGTCTGAGAATCTGCCAGGCCATGCGGGCATGCCCGAAAAAGGGCTTCGGGTTTGGACAATGAGGCCTTCCCAAACTGGATCACAGGTGGTGGACAATCCCTCATCTCGAGCGGCCAAATGACTCAAAAGAATGGAAACGTCTTCACAGAATCGTCATATGTTATGCATGCGTGCTCTCGGACATGAATTGCCACAGGTGGACTGTTCTATCTTCCTGACCCTGAGGTCTTTTTCGGAGAGTCCACTCTCCAGTGTTTGGTGCGTTCGGTGCCACGCATCTCCTGCGATCGGCTCTTCGCCGGACGAGCCCAGCTACACCGCACCGGATGCCACGCCACGGCGCCGCCACGGCATCAGAGCACGGAGTTGGGAGACTCGGGCAGCATCCCTTGCAGCCGTTGGACTTCGTGACGCCTCGGCAGACGGAACACCGGACTGTCTCGGCGCCTCGGATCCAAAGAGGGGAAGTCTATGGGGGATGTCTTCCATTGGATTCCTTGGTCTATTGACTTGGACGTGCCTTCGTTTCGATACGAAAGCAAGGGAAGCCTGCCCAGGAGACTGAACTGGTACGAGGATTGAGAATCATCCAGGAGACTGAATCCGGTTGGTGGCTTCCAGTCACAAAAAGAAAACTTTGAGGACCTGTGGGTTCAATCATCCTAAGTAAAGGTTGAACATCAAAATATCTGCAACTACTACCGGACGTTTTCTTCGCCAGACTGGAGGGATGTCGTCCGTCCCCGCCCCATCGGTGAAAAACGGCCGGCTCAGTCGATGGCAAGGCCAGCTCCCGGCGTTGTCCTGCTGCCCATCACCCGTCTGACAGCCCCAGCCCGATGATGCCTATCACCCACGAAACCAAACAACTTCAAAACCAAAACAAGAGCCCAAAATAGCTGTACTGGATGAGTAGATGGACAAATGTCCAAAATCGGTGGTTCATGGTGGTTCATATGGATCCCCATCTAAAGGACATGTAGGGATGCCAGTGGCCATCTCTATAGTCTGAAACCACTGTATGGAATTGGTGCATTGAGGAGAGTGAGGAATGATCATCCCCATTGGGACGCGGTGTAACGCGTCATCAGAGTTTCGAGCCGCTCTGCTGGATCCTTTTGACCCAGGGTCGACTCCACGATTATGTCAACGCAGGGAGATATACCCTGATGCGAAAGAGATCACTTAAGATTCATTGCTGTGCTTCTGAGTTGGTCCATCATTGGTCTTTGGATGTCTTTGGACCTTGTGCAAGTTGACTGATTCATCATGATTCATCTATCTCCAACGATGGAATTCAGAGAGGGATCGATGCTGAAAAGAAACTACTTAGAACGACCGCTTCAAATTGAAGGGATTATATAAAGAGTTTGAGGCATGAGCAAGGGCCTATATCCGTCCAAAAGCTTCGACCCCGAGGAATCGTAGCTAAGACCTTGTGACAGCCGTGACAGCAGTTGTTGATCAAGTCAAAGAACACCCGTAAACCAAAACAATTTTGGCATCACAACCACCAGCGACTACATAACGAATCCCCCCCACAGCTTCAACATGCTTCAACCATCTTCAACACCTGCCAACCGCCTCGCAGCACCCGAATTCCGCGGAAAGTTGGCAGAACAGCGGTCCCTCCTTCTTCCAGGTGTTGAGCAAACGCTTTCTTGAGCTCTTCTAGCTCCTGTCGTCTCACGAGAACACCACCGCCGTCTACTTCCGACCGACCTGATGGAGTCCGACCGACCGACCGGTGATTCGAACCGCCACCGGTCCACCGTTCGTTCGAGAGCGGAGAGCGGCCGCGGCCCGACGGGGTCGGATCGGAGGATCGGAGTTCGGTGGTTTGGCCTCGGTGTGGGAGATGAGAAACAGACGAGGCACCCGATGTTCTGGGGTATGGGCTAAAACGGCTAAAAGTAGACGCTCCAAAAGTGAAAAAGCCTCTGATGGCCACTTGTAAAGTGGCCTGTGTATGCCTGTGTGGGGTGGTTGATCTCAAAGATCGATGAGACACACCCAACTTACTATAAACTGATGGTCCGTGCTGGTCCAGTGCTGGTGTCTGCACTCCTTGCCGTCCAGGACTCTCTCACCAGGCGCCACCATAAGCTGGTCACTCTGACGGTGCGACCCCAACACCTGCTCTCCACCCTTCCTCTCACCTGCCTACCACCCACCTCCCGCGGGTCCCAAAAACCGCTGCCTCTCGGTATGGTGCCCCGCGCAGCCCACGGAGGCCCGCCTGGAACGGAAGACGAGCGAGCAGCGCGGCGCGCTGCTTAGTTCGGCGCGTTTCGAGCGAGGCCGAGCGGCTTGGCTGCCCACAAAGAGAGGAAAATGGGCTGCGGTTGGACACTCCTAACCTGGTTGGACTGTAAAGACCTGGGTGAGTCCAACCTGTGAATTTGGAGTGAGGACATCTGCGCTTGGGGAGCATGTCTGAGCCATGAGCAACTATTTCTGAGCCTCAGCTTCAGCCAGACGCTGCACGTAGCCCAAGAGCCGTTCCCCTAAAGGCACTGTAGCGATGGGCTGCGCAGACTCCTGCAGGCACACATTCTGATGCTGATGCTGGTCAAGGGCTTCAGCAGTGTTCACATGATCCGTCAGAGGAAGAAAAGCGTGGACAAACCCACGGTTCACATAGGTTCGCCTTCTAATCTAAACTCTTGATGAACAAGACCCCCCCGACATGGATTATAAGATATTGTAAGACCTCGTTATGTGCGGGGCTTCGAAACGTCAAACTTCCCGTCGCCTTCCTTGTTATTATGGACTCACTTCCCTGCTCTTCACAAGTTGGACTCTCCTCCAGTTGCGCGGCCACTTCCCGCACTTCAGACGCCCAATGAGGAATGTCCACCTGCGGCTGCGGAGCAGCGTTTAGATTGGCCACGGGCGTGTTCGTCTGTGTAACTCAGTGTGTGAAATAAAAGCGCTAAAAAAATGTCAATGAAAGTTCTGTAGTCACTCAAGTCAACAAACTCTTTCCAAAACGGACGATCAAGGCGTCCCAATCCTCGGCTTTCTTCCGCAGCGTCGCGTTTTCCTCGAGCAACCTGGGCCAACGGGTTTGGCCCCTGAAGGCGCAATATGGTTTGAAAGGCTGGGTCGCTCCGGAACGATTCGCAGCTCTGAAAGAAGGATGGTCTTGGATGATTTGGTCTCAAGGATGAGCTCCTTCAGGTTTTGGAGCGTTGGTTTTGGAGCTCCCTCTACTTGGTCTCAAGAATTGACCTACTAGGGGAACCTCCTTGACAAACCACCTCCTGGCCATCGCCCAACCCTCCTCGCGCAAGCCCGCCATCCGCCTGGCATGGCTCTCTCGCAGTGTGTCCAGCTCTTCTCGCATCGTAGCGACCTGTGGCCATCAGGGAGGCCGTCTGCTCGTGCTCCGGGGTCGGGGGTGGAGGGGGATTCGAAGGTCCCAGTGGTGAACGATGTTGGAACTGCAACACACCCTCAAAATCATCGCAAGACGGGACTTGCTGCATTGCCCTTCGTTCATTACAACGCACGCAATTCTTGGTGCAAGCTCGCCTCAGGGTTGCAATGTGAGCTCGAACAAATGTCCCTTGGTGTCTCTAACTAGGCCTTTTGCACTAGTCCACAGGGATTGCCACACGGGGAATATTTGGGTGTGCGTCCAGATGTTGGTGTTTCTTTTTGAATCTCTTTCGTGTTGTGGAAAAAATATTGGAGAGTATTGCGACGCACGCCGCCTTGGAGGCTACTTGTTTGTCGAACCACTTGTGGGCCGGCAAAGGCTTGGCGGAGAAATGTGCAAACAAAATTGAACAGAATGGAGGTCTGTCAAAATTGCGGTCCCCACTTTGGGGTCCTGATCAATAGAAATAGCATGATCTACGGAGTAGACAGAGTAGGCAGCAACGAATTCAGCATTGTTAAGCTCCCATTCACACCACCGAGCGCTGCTTGGACCGAAAAGGAAAGCGTCGACGAGGTCCAGTGAGCAGGGTGGGCCTGGGAGAATGATCAAAACAGTCCTTGCGATCTTGAAGGACTTGGAACTCTTCCCGGATTACTTCACGGATCGCCATCATGTAGGTGTCCAGCTGTTCCTTGCTGGTGCTGAAAAAGAACTCTAAGATCCTCTAAGCATGCAATGAGTTCAATGTTGTCTTTTAGGCTTAGATATATATACAAGAAAAGTGTTCCAAAGGATTCAACCACCCAGTTTCATCTAGCATCTCCCCTCCAGGCAAGTCCCCTTGGAGTATTGAATCTGTCTGACCCCCCGTGCTGCTTGAGCTCTGGATATGACCTTCGCGGGTCTCACAAATCCAAAGGTACCTCTTGCCTTAGCTGCTCGTGGAAACCTAGTACATCACATCATGTTTGAATTTTAGTTCCTGTTTGCCAGTTTCAAGTATGAAACGAAAGCTCAAAAACGACTGTTTTCATGAACTGTGGCCCAGTGGCATGGGTATGCCACGATGTAGCCGTCTTTCTGGGCTTCCATGAGGTCGGAAACGATCGTATCATCAGCACTTCCCATGCATTGAAACGCAGCTATGGAGAGAGCAGCTATGGAGAGAGTCACCTGGCACCCCAACAAGGCAACGAGCTGCAAATATCCTGGCAGCTGCTTACCGTAGACAAGGGCCATCACTTGTTGACAGAACATTAGAACGATGCACACAACTGCCACGACTGAACCCACAAAGCCATTGACAATCTGGCAGGGAAGCACACACACTCGGAAGAGGTAAGTCAAACACGATGAAGCACGGAGGTTGGCGAAGCTGAGAGCAGCACGTTCCCTTTCAAATTGATAGCGATCATTGATGACACCAACAAAGATGTTGAGGACGAAGATGGAAAAGAAGAGTATGCCACCACAAAGCACCAAGAGCTCAAGACTGTCACTGGGAGAATCTTCTGGCAGTCCCTGAGACAAAAAAGTGGTGAAAGTCATGAAAAGGGTCTGTGGCCATAACCTTGTGGCTTCCAGCTGCACTGTCAACATGGCATGCGTTAGCGCGGCGAAGGAGAGCATTGTGAAGACCAAGGCAGGCAGCAAACCTGGCTGTGTCTCAATTTGTTTAACGCTACCCAGCGAGCTAAGACACCGGTTTCAGCGCTGTCAACTTGGTTTGAGCGCTGTCAACTTGGTAGATGGGTCTGCTGTGGGCTTGCTGCTGTGGTGGGTGTTTGCCTGGATGTGTTGTCCGGATCGAATCCTTAGGAATGGCAGTTGCTTGGTGGATTGGAGATGGCCAGGTGGGTGGGTGTTCACACCTGTAAGAAGTGACTGATCCTGGAATCACGTCTGACTCTACCGATATGTGTTTCTTATCGTTCTTCGTGGCGTTCCGGCAACATTTCTGAACAGGGGTTGACCTATAGTAAAGTACCAGTACCATACTGGCTGTTCTTTGATAACCGGTTTTAGGGTCCACTGATACAGCTGGAGGTTTTAGGATTCACGGGTGACGTAAATAAAAATGTTCTGAACTCCGCACCTTTCAAGAGCTTCTGAAGCGGGACTAGAGCATGTCCCATCGCCTTGGCTGCCGGAGGCCTTCAATTAATTTTCCAACACACTATATATACTGTATATATACTGTATATAGTTATATATATATATATATGTATAGATAGATTTATATATACTTATTATATATATATATGCTATATATATATATTATAAGGATTGTTTAGGCTGCTAAGGGGCACAAGACCTTATTAGGATTTGAAAAGTTCTTAGGAGCGGCAACCGGGTCACCTCCGAGAGGGTCAACCCCTCGAGCAGGCGCGCCCAGTAAATCAGCACGACCAGCAGGCGCAAGCAGCGGTGCCCATGGAGGACCAATGGCAAGATGGGAATGATGCTGCGGCTCAAGTCCCAAATGTTGCCAAGGGTGGCCTCGGTCTGCCAAAGATTCTTGTTCAGACATTACGAAAAAAGCAAGAGATGTCTCAAAGGCGAACCTAGCGGCATAGCTGCGTAGTTCCCCTACCAGATCACAGCCCCAGATCTGCACAAGCTCCAGCAAAAGGTCAACGATGCCTTTTGCAATGATCCAGTCAGCAACCACGCCATGCGTCAGGCTGTCGGCAGCATAGCTTGGGTCAAATGCCTCTTCTGTCATCTCCCTATCACTTCCCATAGCCGCCATAGCCGCCTCGTGCTTGTGCAAGGTCTCTATAACAAGAAGGATGAGGCCCCAGAGTGCAAGGATGAACTGAGAAACTTCCATCCACACAGCACCGTTCCAGAAAGTATGGGACACTGCTGCGCGGATTGCGGGAACCAAGTGAAGGAATTGGCCTTGGTCTGCACTCCGAACAAGCGGTGCAAAGACTTTGGGCGAGATGATATTTGGAAGCCGGCAAACCTGAATCTTGACATCTTTGTACGGAGCAGACTTCTGGGCTGTAATCTGTTGGTGCCACGCTGGAGCTGAATATGTGGCGTCATTAAATTCCCATTGTGTGTCCTGCACGTAAAAGGTTACAAATGAAGGCACCCCAAAAAGCCAAACATACATCCTCGTGAAAACATGTTGGCCGGCGAAGGACATGCGCTGCGGTAGCGGATGCCAACCTGGGCACACTACTGCCGGCCTTGTTGTGCAAACGTTTAGCAAGGAAGCAAAAGCCTCCGGGAAGTCAAGAATCAAGCGGGCAATGTCCAGTGAAGACAGCTTGTCAAAAAGCACATCTGCCACACCTCCAGAGACGGTCACACCTCTGTCCGATTCGGCACGCATGAGACGCACCATAAAGGAAGGAATGCACTCCGGCGCATGGTGAATGAACACCCTTAGGCTGCTGAGGTGCGGGGGCGCCAGAGCGGCAAGGGCTTCCTGGCTCAACTTCCCAGCTTTGATACCCAGCTCGAGCGGAGTCTCTGTCCGCTCAGCCGAAGAAGAATCATCATAAAGAAATTCATGTGTGTTGCAACCATCTTCTTCCATCTGGTCTTGCACTGCGCGTATGGTTGCTTCGTTGCCTGTCATAAAGGCAACGTGCAAGCATGACCCCCCGTCGGCTCTCGTGCTGGCAATGTCTGATCCCCGAGCACACAGGAAGCTGATCATGTCTTTATCCCCACCACGCCCTTCTTTCCAAACAGCAACATGGATGACGTTGTCGTAGGGCAAGCCATCCCTCTGAACCATGCTCTCAATGCTGGCTCCCCTGTCTAGGAGCATCTCAACTAGCCATCTGTGGCCGCGGCTGGCTGCAAGATGGATAGCGGACCCTGTGACAAGTTGCTCTGACATGTTCGGACCCACACCACTGTAAGCGAATTCCTCAAGCACGGACGCAAGACCTTCATCAAGCTGCTGGCTGGCCTGCTCCGCATCGCCACTCAACACATTGGTGTGAAAGGAAGTACCAAAGCAGGTTCTGTTGTTCCATAGGAACTGCTTGTCTCAGCCGAACTTCGTGGCCTCCTAGAGGCGAACTCCTCGTACTCCTCCTCCACATCGTCACTCCTGAGGGCCTTGAAGTTTGCTCTGGCAAGCTCTACGTTCACCTGCTTCTTCACCAACGGCACAAAAGCCCCACTCGCAGACTCAAGGTATCTCAAGGTCCATGTGTGCACCGTTGCGGCGTTTGACTCCACCTGAGCCAGCTATGCCTTCGAGCAACTGCTGACGCATACACCTTTCAATTTCTCCGCCCCTGTATAGATGGTAGCTCATAGACGAATGGACAGTGACCAAGGCCCAACTAAGGGTGTCCAATGTATATAACTGGGTCCTGCCACAGTGCGGCTCAAAAACTCGGACTGATAGCTTCTTCTTCTACGGTGTTCCATTTTCCCTTGCACATGTCTCCCTGCCTGCGCAGGATCCAAGTGTAGCAAGTGAGATGAGGTCTTGCTCGTCTTCGGCTTGTCCTGCCAGTCACACATGCTCGCGCCGCTCGCGCGCCGCTCGGCGACAAAGGCGCGAGCGGCTCGCGCGGGTTGAGGGGTCCTTGCCCTGCGCGATCAACGGGATGCCCAGCTTGGGTCCTGGGACGGATGGAGTGGGAGACACTTAGTGCATACACCTTGAAGTAGATATCAAATATCAGATAAAACATGAAGATCCATGTGAAACATCGAGAGACGCACCCAGTAGTGGTGGAAAAGTCCGCAGGAAGTAATTAGTGTCAAACCTGGCATGAGGTCTTAAATTCAAGTCGAATTTGTCCAAAGGTCTCCTGAAAATGGACAGTCTCCATGTTTGATGCCAATTGGAGGATGTTACCCCCCAGAAAAGGTGCCACTCAGTAGCTTCACCTGCCATGTCCATGTCTGCCATGTCTGCTCCGCTTCCGTCCGCCCGCCACCGCTCCCGTGAACTCCGGCCGCACGGTCTGAACGGCACCTCCCAGTGCCTCCGACGCGGACCGCCGTGGGGAGGGAAGTTTCGGCCCTCCAGAATCGACCGACACGACCCAGAATTATCTCACATCTTTTGGGGCAACCATCGCCTGGGAAGTCTGAGGCTGCTTGAAGGATTAGTAAAGGAATCTGGGCCTCTGTACGTGACCAGATGGGGCACGCCTCAACCCCCCTTGTGGGCTGCCAAAACCATCCAAAACCTGTCATCATTCTTCATTCTAGGGCGGTTGGTGTGTGCTCGAATGGTTTCGTGGGGAGTTCATATTTAGATGTGGCTCAAATGCCTCGACCCTCCTTGCTATGTGAAGCTGCCAAAGCCTCCGGTCCGTTGTGACCGTAGGTGTTTCAAGGCGAATCGGGATCAACTGTTGAAGTATGGGGTGTGGAGGGCTACGCATCCCAAATGGAAGCTTCTTTACCCACATGCCCTTCCGCAGACCTTCTTGGCAGCAACAAGGTCTGAGGCCGCCACATGCTGCTGGAGAATTCTAGACTCTTGACAGTAGAGGGGACTTAAACCCAACAAATCACCACGTGTGTGTTCATCCGCCAAGTGATCCACCATGTCATGCAGTTGATGAACAAAACCCGGACCCTGCACATCTGGAAACTAGATCAACCAGAAAAGAAAACTATATAGATGCTGTATTCTCTAGGGTATCTTTGGAATTGTATGGATCATCTTCTACCGTGATTCTCAGGGCGTCAACTAGCCAAGATCCCCGCGTAAATGCAAGTGATCACCTTGGCCGCATCCAGCGATGTTGTTTCGGGCTGCAAACGTACTCTGTGTTGTGGGACTCTATTGTGGCCTTTAAATAAATGCCTCCAACATCCTCCAACAATCACGGAAGTGAACAAGTGCCCCTGGAAGGACCGGACCTTGTTGGAGGGCGAGTATTATGGTAATCATCGAAATTGATCACATTGACCACTCAGTGGTGTCTGAGGATTTAGCAGAGTCCACATTCTTCTCCTCGTACCTCTGAAGAGGTCGCGCAGCAAGACCAGCTGATGAGGGAGAATTCAAACCGTCCGAGACCTACTTCTGTGAAGTGCCAAGGCAATGGCCTTGTCAACTGACATGGAAACTGAGGATAACTGAGGCAGACCAAAGGAGCACCTGCAATTGACGGGCAGTTCTCCAACCCTAAATACGTTGTTTTGAATTGGGGGTTGTTTGGGGTGGATCTTCATCTAATGAAAGATCGTGGTCCTATGAGAAAGGCCTTGGTCATTCGTGCTCACGGGTCACTTGTCTTCTGCTGCAAGGGTCTTGAAGATTGGGGGCTCGGTGATGCTTTGATCACACCACGAAGAATCCAAAGTCCGGCGGACAAAACGGATCCTGGTGCCGTTTTTCCCAGGGGCGCATGGATTGAGAGGAAAACTCTGGCATCAGTTGACGAGGCAGTCCTGACCATTCCTGACCTACTCAACTTGGAGTGGTTGCTGCCCTTCAGTGTCCTCCCACGTTTCCCTTCGCACCGGCGTCGGTCGGTCCGGTCACAGGTCCGGCGTGTCGAACATGGAGCTCTCAGGAAGGCCCAGTTCACGGGCCTTGGAAGCCGGGCCCGTCGTGGAGTCATCACAGTGACATCGAACGCTCTCCACGGTCTCTCCACGGTCGCGCCCGGCTTCGCCGCGGTGTCGTTTCGGTGTCTTTTCGGCGCGGCGGGGCTGAAGCCAGGTGGTTCCCGGACGTGGGGCTTCTGGAGTGTGAGAATGCGAGCGGATTTTGTGATTGGAGAATCTGTCCCATTAAGAGTAGTGACAGGTTGTAGCCATTCATCTTCAAGTGCTCCATACTAGTCGGCACGGCGGACAAACAGAGCCAAGCTACTGCTGAAACACTCGGCTGCCCATGTGTCCGTTTTTGCGATTCATTCCGGCCAAAGTCCAAAGTGTGCCAGCCCGAAAGTTTGTCGAGGTGTTTCAATCTGTGTTTCATGGATCTTTTCAACAAATCCAACATAATCCAACTAATTTAATCAGTTGTCAGTTTGGTGATGTTTTCCCTTCCGTGTCCGTGTGTTCGTGTCCGTGTTCGTGTCCGTGTCAATGGACGAGGCAGTGTCCGGGTTGCCTCTCCAAGGTCTAAAACTCCGAAGTCGTGGATCGATGTGTATTCCCAATAAGGAGACCCCTGGCTGGCCCGGGTCAGGTCGGTCAGAGTGTTCCTTCTGACCTGTAGACGGGTCTGTGGGAGGTCTAGAGTCTATACTATTTTGATACAAAGCCATGTAGACTCTACAGCGGCACGAGCACCCAGCTCTTCCTATGCTTGAAGTAAGAACCCCTACAGCTCTTGCTATCTGTGGAATAGAACAGGACAGGCCCCCAAGATCTTTTCACAATCCAAATGAGGGAGGGTGATGAATCAAGAGTCTATACCAGGACCCAGCAGCGGAGTGGTTCATCAACACCCCTTATATAACCTCTTCAACACAACTATGAACAAACACCCCACGGCTCCGGCGGTACTGGTCTCATTCGATGCTGTCGAACCCCCGTAGCATTCGACTCCGCTCGACTCCGCCCGAGTGAGTCACGCCGTGCGCCGTGATTCATCTCGGTCAAAACCGCTGGGGGACGGGACTGCGTTCAGGAATTTGGTGATGTTCTCCTCGGAAACGGCAGAGAGGACCGGGCGCATCTGCTGCGTCCCAGGGCTCAGTCACCATGCTTGGAAGAGCTTTGGATCAGCATCCGCTACCGAGCCAGGGACCTTTCAATCAGTTGTAAACTTATAATTACGGTTATAAGATATATGCGTTTAAGACTAAGATGTTTAATAAATTCGTCACTCTGAAACATGGCCACGCTCTCAACTGGAATCTGGTTGGCCCCATCTTGCATGTCTAGTTGCAGAAGCTCACATTCTTCTTTGACTCCATCTCTCTGAAAATGATCCAAAATTCACGTGCGGGGCCTGAAAGACCTGACCAAACCGGAGCGCCTTCGCCTAAACACTCTTTCAGCACACGCCGGAATTGGCGTTCTCCACCCCCAAACGTCGCCCAGCAGCCATCTGTTTGAAGGGCACACACTGCTGGTTCACCGTCCTGCCACGCCGTTCACGGCGCGCGCGCGGGAAACCGTTCCGCGCGCGCGGATTCGACCCGACGGGCCTGATGAGACCGGGCTGAATGGCATTCACCAGGTCACACAACACCACGCCTGGAGCAGCGCAGCTTACTTCCGGGCCGAGGCAAGAACGGGCTGGAGAGGGTGGAACTTCAGATGCTGAACTGGGGATGTAGAATTTGGCGTTCGTGTTCTTTCATTCTGTGCAGAAAGCTCATAGTCTATCCGCAAATGACACTGGAACGGAGACACTCCCGACAAAGAGTTCTCCCCCTTTGGGGGTGCGGGTTGCCCCTTGAATGCTTCAATCTTCTTGGGCTCTGACGCTGAACCATGTAAGACTGTTCTGAAGATGTGATGATTGTCATGTACAAGTCTGCAAGCAGCTCCCATGACTCCAGTGCATCCTTGCCTGAGGGACTTCGCCAATCGGTTGGTGAAACAACATCTTTTCAAGAAAGGCACGACGAATTGTGCAGATCAGATCCGGTTTCTGATGCACTAGCTGAAGATTGTCCAAACTGAGGTGATCGTACAAGCCTCGAATTTCCACTCGAAAGTATTTAGAAAATGGGAGAAAAACAAAGAGACTCACCTCTTCCCACCCAGACCTCACCTCTTCCCACCCAGACCTCACCTCTTTCCACCCAGACTTCTTCTCCCCGTTGCCCTCCCTTCTTCCCTTCTTCCGGGCCTGACTTCAACCACTCCGCCACGCTCGCATCACCCTTCTGACCTCTGCAAAGCACCACCAAAGGAGCCCTGGCTGGGGATGAACACCCCAAGTGAGGCCACTCC